ATGTTTTTATCGTGTTTTCATTAAACATACTAATGTATGATATTTTTTCATGTTTTCAGGACACATTCTAATGTGTGATGTTTTTATCATGTTTAATGACACATACTAAGGTATGATGTTTTTATCATGTTTTCAAGACACATTCTAATGTATGATGTTTTTATCATGTTTTCAAGACACATTCTAATGTATGATGTTTTTATCATGTTTAATGACACATACTAATGTATGATGTTTTTAATCATGTTTTCAAGACACATTCTAATGTATGATGTTTTTATCATGTTTTCAGGACACATTCTAATGTATGATGTTTTTATCATGTTTTCAAGACACATACTAATGTATGATATTTTTATCATGTTTTCAAGACACATTCTAATGTATGATGTTTTTATCATGTTTAATGACACATACTAATGTATGATGTTTTTAATCATGTTTTCAAGACACATTCGAATGTATGATGTTTTTATCATGTTTAATGACACATACTAATGTATGATGTTTTTAATCATGTTTTCAAGACACATTCTAATGTATGATGTTTTTATCATGTTTTCAGGACACAGTCTAATGTATGATGTTTTTATCATGTTTTCAAGACACATACTAATGTATGATATTTTTATCATGTTTTCAAGACACATTCTAATGTATGATGTTTTTATCATGTTTAATGACACATACTAATGTATGATGTTTTTTTTCATGTTTTCATGACACATACTAATGTATGATATTTTTTCATGTTTTCATGGCACATACTAATGTATGATGTTTTTATCATGTTTTCATGACACATACTAATGTATGATATTTTTTCATGTTTTCATGACACATACTAATGAATGATATTTTTATCATGTTTTCATGACACATACTAATGTATGATGTTTTAATCGTGTTTTCATTAAAAATACTAATGTATGATATTTTTTCATGTTTTCATGACACATACTAATGTATGACATTAGTATCTTGTTTTCATGACACATACTGATGTATGATATTTTTTCATGTTTTCATGACACATACTAATGTATGATGTTTTTATCATGTTTTCATGACACATATTAATGTGTGACATTAGTATCTTGTTTTCATGACACATACTAATATATGATATTTTTTCATGTTTTCATGACACATACTAATGAATGATGTTTTTATCATGTTTTCATGACACATACTAATGTATGATGTTTTTATCATGTTTTCAGGACACATTCTAATGTATGATGTTTTTATCATTTTTCATGACACATACTAATGTATGATGTTTTTATCGTGTTTTCATTAAACATACTCATGTATGATATTTTTTCATGTTTTCATGGCACATACTAATGTATGATATTTTTTCATGTTTTCATGACACATACTAAAGTATGATATTTTTATCATGTTTTCATGACACATACTAATGTATGATGTTTTTATCGTGTTTTCATTAAACATACTAATGTATGATATTTTTTCATGTTTTCAGGACACATTCTAATGTGTGATGTTTTTATCATGTTTAATGACACATACTAAGGTATGATGTTTTTATCATGTTTTCAAGACACATTCTAATGTATGATGTTTTTATCATGTTTTCAAGACACATTCTAATGTATGATGTTTTTATCATGTTTAATGACACATACTAATGTATGATGTTTTTAATCATGTTTTCAAGACACATTCTAATGTATGATGTTTTTATCATGTTTTCAGGACACATTCTAATGTATGATATTTTTATCATGTTTTCAAGACACATTCTAATGTATGATGTTTTTATCATGTTTAATGACACATACTAATGTATGATGTTTTTATCATGTTTAATGACACATACTAATGTATGATGTTTTTATCATGTTTTCAAGACACATTCTAATGTATGATGTTTTTATCATGTTTAATGACACATACTAATGTATGATGTTTTTATCATGTTTAATGACACATACTAATGTATGATGTTTTTATCATGTTTTCAAGACACATTCTAATGTATGATGTTTTTATCATGTTTAATGATACATACTAATGTATGATGTTTTTAATCATGTTTTCAAGACACATTCTAATGTATGATGTTTTTATCATGTTTAATGACACATACTAATGTATGATGTTTTATCATGTTTAATGACACATACTAATGTATGATGTTTTTATCATGTTTTCAAGACACATTCTAATGTATGATGTTTTTATCATGTTTAATGACACATACTAATGTATGATGTTTTTATCATGTTTTCAAGACACATTCTAATGTATGATGTTTTTATCATGTTTAATGACACATACTAATGTATGATGTTTTTAATCATGTTTTCAAGACACATTCTAATGTATGATGTTTTTATCATGTTTAATGACACATACTAATGTATGATGTTTTTAATCATATTTTCAAGACACATTCTAATGTATGATGTTTTTATCATGTTTAATGACACATACTAATGTATGATGTTTTTATCATGTTTTCAAGACACATACTAATGTATGATATTTTTATCATGTTTTCAAGACACATTCTAATGTATGATGTTTTTATCATTTTTCATGACACATACTAATGTATGATGTTTTTATCATTTTTCATGACACATACTAATGTATGATGTTTTTATCATGTTTTCAGGACACAGTCTAATGTATGATGTTTTTATCATGTTTTCAAGACACATACTAATGTATGATATTTTTATCATGTTTTCAAGACACATTCTAATGTATGATGTTTTTATCATGTTTAATGACACATACTAATGTATGATGTTTTTATCATGTTTTCAAGACACATTCTAATGTATGATGTTTTTATCATGTTTAATGACACATACTAATGTATGATGTTTTTATCATGTTTTCAAGACACATACTAATGTATGATATTTTTATCATGTTTTCAAGACACATTCTAATGTATGATGTTTTTATCATTTTTCATGACACATACTAATGTATGATGTTTTTATCATGTTTTCAAGACACAGTCTAATGTATGATGTTTTTATCATGTTTTCAAGACACATACTAATGTATGATATTTTTATCATGTTTTCAAGACACATTCTAATGTATGATGTTTTTATCATTTTTCATGACACATACTAATGTATGATGTTTTTATCATGTTTTCAGGACACAGTCTAATGTATGATGTTTTTTTCATGTTTTCATGACACATACTAATGTATGATATTTTGTTCATGTTTTCATGACAGATACCATACCATACCATTTTATTTATAAAGCGCATTCAACAAGGCATTACAACCAAAAGATAAAAAGGAAAAACTACAAAATTCCTAGAACTAACAGTTAAAAATCAGTAAAACACGGTGAGAATATAAAAAATAAGAAAAACATTTTAAAAAGAACCCCAATAATACGGAAGTTGATATTGTGCATTCCATTTTGAACAATGCAGATGTAAGCGATGGTCATAATTATGTTGTATAAGCTAGGTTGAAGTAGTGAGTTTTCAGGCGTGATTTAAAAATGCTAGCTGTTGGTGCTTGCCTCACTAGCAGTGGTAATGTGTTCCACAGCTTCGGTGCACAGACAGAGAAAGCCCTTTCTCCACGGCTTTTTAAACGTGCATTCGGAACAGCTAGGAGGAGCTTATCTTCAGACCTGAGAGCATGCGGCGGGTTGTAGTAATGGACAAGTTCACACAGATATGGAGGAGCTTGATGGTTCAAGGATTTGTAAGTCAGAAGCATAATTTTGAAATGTATCCTGAACTGCACGGGAGAGATTTCAGAATTGGTGAAATGTGTTGTCTTCTGTCAGCTCCAGTCAGCAACCTAGCTGCTGAATTCTGGACCAGCTGAAGTCTAGAAAGAGCTGCTTTACTCATGCCGTATGAGCAGGAGTTAGAGTAATCCAGCCTTGAGGTGATGAAAGTGTAGATCACGGATTTCAGAAGACGGACACTCAGGATGTGCTTTAGTTTCGAGAGATTAGACAGATACTAATGTATGATGTTTTTTTCATGTTTTCATTACTTATATTAATTAGTGTATGATGTTTTTTTCTTGTTTTCATGTTGTGTTTTATCATGTTTTCATGACACATTCTAATGTATGATGTTTTTATCGTGTTTTCATTACTTATATTAATTAGTGTATGATGTTTTTTTCTTGTTTTCATGTTGTGTTTTATCATGTTTTCATGACACATTCTAATGTATGATGTTTTTATCGTGTTTTCATTACTTATATTAATTAGTGTATGATGTTTTTTCATGTTTTCATGACTTTTATTATTGTATGATGTTTTTTCATGTTTTCATGATACTAATGTATGATGTTTTTTCATGTTTTCATGACTTATATTAATGTATTATGTTTTTATCATGTTTTCATGACTTTTATTATTGTATGATGTTTTTTCATGTTTTCATGATACTAATGTATGATGTTTTTTCATGTTTTCACGACACATACTAATGGATGTTTTTTCATGTTTTCATGGCTTATATTAATGTATGATGTTTTTATAACAGATATTGTTTCTTTGTTTTGTATTCACTTCTGATGGACACTAGGGGAGGCTATTGCATCAGTGTGAAGAGAAGTCCTTTTTTAACAAACACAGTGAAGGTTGAATTAGAGTTCATTTCACTTTTCTTCAAATCTACCACTTACTTTATATGTTTTATATCTCCTTTAGATACACAGTTAATCTAAAGTTTTTCATTCTCATTCATTTTTTCCTCAAGTTTTTTTTATACCTGCATTAGTAAAACTAAATATTTGTTGCATTTTTGACCATCCAGAAGACAACAGAGGCCTTAATTTCATGTAACAGGCTGACTTTGTTCTGTAAACACAGAAAATAGCAGTTTTGTTAGATGAGCTTTCAGGGTGCTGACCGCCTTCACACAGATCTTCCTCTGTCTAAAGTTTAGAACGTCATTCCCATCGACATTAATATGGTCATCCCTGCTGTTTCCACTACTGACATGCTGTGGTGTAAATTGGTATAGCATCTTACATATCATACACAGAGAGTAGATCGCTGTTAAAACCAGTCTCAAAACCTGCTCATTTAGTCACGTGAAAGTAAATTATTTCCTTTCATTTACATTTAGTTAATTCACTCTGAAAACATTTCGCAGCTGTAACCTGTTGTCTATTTTGTCCTGAGCGGCTTGCTGTAGACAGGAAGATGGCGACCGTAATACTGGTTAGCCGTCCTGTGGGTGTTCTTTCTAAGATATCAGGTGAGTAGCGCTACAGCAGTGGCAGCAGCGAACGCTGTGTCCGTCTTATTAATGTATTGTGTTTTATGTGTAGATATATAAACAAACACTCCGGCCCGGATTAGCATTTAGACCAGACACTCGGCTGGAGTGACCTTGCTAACGGGCTCTGCTAGCTATTCGCTAACAGTGGTTGTAGCTTGTTACTGCATTTTTTTTCTAGGTATTGTTTATATTTAGTTACACACACACACACACACACACACACACACACACACACACACACACAGTTGGAATCAAATAAATAGGTAAAGTGGAAGTTATAAAATATTTGTTTAAATGCAGATAACTTCCTGGTAATTTCATGCCAGGTCTTTTTCCAGTACCTGTGCAAACATCTGAACATAAAAGTAGTTTCAAACATTTTCAGTCATTTTTATTCTTTAATGTTTAGGGTTAGTGTATCGTTGAAAAACAAATCTCACATTAAAGGTGAATGAATAGTGTTTGAATTGGCTAAAACTGCAAGAACCCTGATCTAATGGTTATAATTCATTTGACTAAATGTTAGACCGCATTTGCGTTGTTTGAACAGGCATCTGCTATCCAGCCGCAGCAGCAGCTGTGTCTGGTGCCACAGTCCAGCAGAGAAAGCTGCACCATGCCGTCATCCCCAAAGGGAAAGGTGGACGCTCATCATGCAGTGGGATAGCTGCCACAGTGTTCGGGGCCACCGGTTTCCTGGGTCGATACGTGGTCAACAAGTTGGGTGAGTTTCCTAAAACAAACTTCTTCAAGATGTTTACATTTAGCAAAAGACTTTAACATACAGCAGGTGAAAATGAAATTAAGAGAATGTTGGGTTTATAGGTCGGATTGGTTCTCAGGTTGTTGTTCCTTTCCGCTGCGATCAGTACGACCTCATGTACATCCGGCCTATGGGTGATCTTGGACAAATCATTTTTATGGTAAGATTCCCGTAAAAATGCGTTTCTTCTGCAGGAATGTTGTGACAGCGGGATTTTCACAATTTTAAAGGCTTAAGTCAATAATAGCTTCTTTGTTTTGTGAAAGGAGTGGGATCCAAGGAACAAAGACTCCATCCAACGGGCCTTAGAACACTCGAACGTGGTCATCAATCTGGTGGGCAGAGAATGGGAAACAAGGTATGATAACCAGTAGGGCTGAACCATTTTAGGAAAAGATTGAATTGTAATTTTTCCAGCAGAAAGTGCGATTTCGGTTCAATGCACGGTTTTCTGCAAAGGTCCGACACTAGCCTGCCGAGGCGTCCTGTAGATTAAGTGAATAGATGGTCTAGATTCTAATCTAGTACAACAAATCATTCACATTATTATTTACTATTTAGTCATACAATAAACACAGTTAAAGCTGTTAATATTTTATCCCATTATTATCTTTTTTTATGTGTTTGTGAAGCAAATTGTGATTATCTAGAGGAGCTTTATAAAACTTGTTCTACTCCAAAACTGCACGGAGTAAATCTGTAGGTAGAAACAACTTTTAAATGTATTAAATAACAAAAGCACACCGTTTTCCTGCGTTCCCGCGGCAGGCTGAAGCCGTCTGACACTTTTTCCTCACTAACGTCAGCTCCGTGAGAGAGACGCACGCATTCTGACACCTTAGCTTGTCTGAGCTAACGTGTGCCGTCAGAAACATTCAAACCATTTTTAAAAGACAAGTTGAGCTTTCATTGCAACTAAAGTGCGCGACTCTGCTCTCGCGTTGACAAAGCGTAAACCAAGCTTTAGAAACCAGCCTGAACCTGCTGATGTGGGAGGAGTCTCCCTCTCCCTTACTCAACTACGTTCTCTCTGTCTCTCTGTCCCGGGCTCATCTACGGTGCATTACTATCGGCTCAGGCAGCGCTGTGTGTGGGAACATAAAACAGGGAAATGACCTGAACATGCAGCTCTGGCAGCTGTGGAGTTGGGCTCGGCTCTGGACGGTACACCACACCCCCCTCCACCGCGCTGGCCTTTGTCGCCGCCATAGCACGGGGAAACCCCGGATGTAAAAAAAAATAAAAAAAGTTACACCACTGATCCTGGATCAGTCAAAACCGCTAAAACCATAGCTTTGACGGTCACGTGATCGTGCTGTTTGAAATCGCAAAGTTCAGCGCTAATAACAAAGGACTTCCTCACTTTTAAGACTGACATTGGATTTTGTGAATGCATTCTCAGTTTTCTTAATTAGTTTGTTTTGTTTTAAATCAAGAAACAATCGCTTTGAAGACGTCTTCGTGACCATCCCTCAGCAGCTTGCCAGGGCAGCAAAGGAAGCCGGCGTCCCAACGTTCATCCACGTGTCGCACCTTAATGCGGATATTCGCAGCCCTTCCAAGTACCTGAGGAATAAAGTAGGTCACAGTCTCTAAATTCCTGATAAATCTCTGCCAGTTAAACTTGCGCTACAACTTCACAGATAGGTTTTGTACATGCTGTACATTCATGTTCTTGATTTTCTGTTCTCATAGGCTGTGGGAGAGAACGTAGTGAGGGAAGAGTTTCCCGAGGCCATCATTATGAAACCAGCTGAGATGTTTGGAAGGGAGGACCGATTCTTCAACCATTATGCCAGTAAGAACAGAAAGTGGTTTATCCTGTATTGATGCTACACGAGAACGGCGCTTTTAGATCTTTCACCAACATCTACGACATTTCCACAGCTGCTGAACTCATTCATCTACATTTTCTTTGTCACTGTTTTCATTTCTCAGACATGCGTTGGTTCGGCGGTGCTATTCCTCTCATTGCCCTGGGAAAGAAGACCGTAAAGCAGCCTGTTTATGTGGGTGTTCTCAAACAATGTGAAACTTTGCTTTGCATGAAAAAAATTCTTATTTCTCAGTTCCACTGATTTAGTGTTCGGTTCTTCATCTGAGCTCATTATTACACCAGAACTTGTTTATTAGTCAGCGCAGCTCTCTGACTTCTTACACTAAAGTCACTGTAGAGGTGATCTCAGACGTCCTTCATAAAAAAGTCAATAATATACAAACTCAGTAGTGGATAATGTCAGCCAACCAGCTAGTCTGACTGGTTTTGTCCTCCAGGTGGTGGATGTGGCCCAGGCCATTGTCAATGCTTTGAGAGACCCTGGCGCTAAAGGAAAGACCTATGCTCTAGTTGGGTAAGGGGCAGCTTATTTCTCATTAGCATATTTTAGCCACTTGTGTCGTTTTCAGGTTCCAGAGGAGCTTTCAGACATTTTTAGGTTCTGTCCCACAAAATGACATAAAGACCAAATGTTGCCGTTTAAACTCTGCAAACATTGCAAAAGAGTAAATAAGGAATAAATGAGAACACAAAACTCTATTAATAATAATTTATTCAGGGTATCCGCGGGTCCTTAAAAAGTCTTAAATTTGCTTTTCCAAATTTAAGGCCTTAAAAATCCTTAAAAATGACAAATAATCCTTAAATGCAGTTTCCAAAGGTCTTAAATCACCAAAAACCCAATAAACAAAATTCTTTTATTACTATGAAATTTTCGTGAATTTCTAGTTGGTGTTCAGCATTTTTGTGTACGATGTTGGCGTAAGCGGAACCGTACACACTCAGCTGGTTGTGAAAGGGGGCTATTTTTAGATGAGCACATTAGCTGGTTAAGCTAGTGGGAGCTTGCACCATGGGGAAGTGCAAGTTTAATGGTAACTGGATGGCTAATCCCACGTTCACGACGTGGTTAGCACCGGTTCCAGGCAATAGCTGGAAATTATAGCTTAAATTTAATTTAAAAAAAATAGCTTAAATTTGGTCAAAGTGGCCTTAAAAAGGGTCTTAAAAAGTCTTAGATGTGGCTCCCTTACACCTGCAGATACCCTGTTATTGCTGTTTGTAGTTTTACACACATTAGTGAATTATTGTCAGTGATTCCCCTACATAGGCTCAGGTGTGGCGCTGCGCCATGGCTGAAATTCCAGCGCCACGCCAACCAGTTTCACACACACACACACGGAAGGTAAGCGCTCCGTGCAATGACACCTCCCACCTCCGCTCTCACGGACGAGGCACAGCAGCGAAACGCTCCACACACACGACTCCTTTTTTAAGGTTTATTGGGATCTGAGTCGTCCAGAATTGTTTTTTTTTTCTTTAAAGATTTGCTGAAAAATAGTTAATGACAGAAATATTTGTTTCTCTGTTCTGCTCAAGGGTTTCTGTTCTGTCTTCTGTCGTCGTGCCTGTGGATGACAGATGTAAAGTGTGTTAATGAATTTCTGTTGTTGTCATCTTCAGTCCCAGTCGTTACCTGCTTCGTGACCTGGTGGAGCACATTTATGCCGTGGCGCACAGACCTTTCATCCCCTACCCTTTGCCCCGCCCGCTCTACCAGTAAGAACCTCACTTATCTTACATTTTCTTTTAAGGAAAATTAAATGAGTCAAACCTGTCAGGCAGCAGGAAGACGACAAAAGCCTTTGAATTTCTGCCAAACAAAACTATTTATTAGTGTATTCAACTGCTTTTGCAAAAACATCTCAACAACCCGCTCGTCAACATTCTTCCAGTTCAGATTCAACAAAGATAGGAGTACAAGTGTTTATGCCTGTCTTATCACCACTTACGTATTTAACAGCTCGTGTTTGTTTGTTCCCAGCCTGGTTGCAAAGTTTTTTGCCCTGAACCCCTTTGAGCCCTGGACAACCCCAGACAAAGTGGACAGGGTGCGAATAAAACTAAACTAAGAAATGCAACTTAAGTGTGGATTTGAAAATTCTTCACAAAAGTGTCCTTTTTATTTTCCAGTTTCACACAACAGACATGAAGCACCCTGGACTTCCTGGTCTGGAGGACCTGGGAATCGTCCCCTCCTCTGTGGAAGAAAGGGCCATCGAGATTCTGCGCCGCCATCGTCGGTATCGTTACCTTGACGCTGGGCGAGATGACACGAAACCAGCCAAGACGGTCAACTATTAAACTCCACATGGAGTCATCGGTCTTTAACTTCATTCTGTACATAAAGTTCCTCGCAGGATGTTTTGCTGTTTGTTTGCTTTCTGTCATGAAACAACAATGAGCAGTAAAAATAAATGATTAAAATGTACAAGTTTATTGTTTAATGACTGTTGGTGATTTAGAAGCTGCCCCGTGGCGGGCTCTGATCCCGCTTGTGCTGTATCAGCCTGCACATGTAAATCTAACGCTAGGTGCCTTTTAATTAGGATGTCAAAAATCACGGCTTTAGGTAACAAATATCCCGATATTTGGCTTTTTTTAACTAATAAAATATTCAACCAAAGTTCTAATTGTACAATAGTGGCAATAACTTCATAGCAGTTGTTATTACAGTTCATTGTCTAGCAGATGTTGTTAGAACAGCCAGACTAACTAAATATATGGTGTAACTTTGCAAGGCCAGAGTTTGGTGGAGTCCACCAGCGTATGCTTATATAGGAGTTTTACACTAAAAGGCTTATTTGAAACGTGCACATGCATGAAATGTTATCTCTGAGATAAGATGTGCTGCAGCCTGAGCTGTAAAGCCTGTTGCTGCATGGCGGAGACTTCTCAGAGAAAGCACTATGAAGGCTTTTTGTCGAATCGGAGTCATTGGAGCTTTTTTACTATTCATTTACATTTTGATCTCCACGCCAGCAACTTGGAGAGGGCAAACATCCTTTCCAGAGAAAGTCACCGATGAAAAGGTTGAGAGTGGGAAACTGGACAGGATTGAGCGGACTTTAGACAAACTGGGTGAGCGAGACTTTCAGACAACTTAAAAGATGTTTAGGTCGGACTGCTGCAGCAGCAAACGACAGATTTAAGCACTTCATGAAAACCATTATGACTGTGTGAATAAGACGTGTCAGAGTTTCTACCTTTTGTTAAATCTGATTCCAGTCCAGATCACTACAGAACATTATTCTTATTAATGAACCATTTATTAACATGTTTATCTTAATGGAATACAGTCTAAATACATGTTTGACCTTGTGGCTGCCTAACTGCGTCTTTAGAGCCTTATTTTGTTCTCTAGTATGTCCCACGTGTAAAGGGCCTTGAACTGCATGCTCGCCATTCCTTACTATTAAGATGCACAGGATTACAGAGCCAAAGCCCACATTTTTACCCATCTGTTATTACAGTTTATTTTAAAAAGTCAAATGAACAAACATTTGATCTAACCCTTAAATAAAACCTTTATTATTATTATTAGCCTGGACAAACAGCTAGCAATAAACTGGTCCCAGACACTAAAACTCTGCTATTCAGGTGGAAACCAGTACTGGGCCAGTTAAACCAACAGTGTAGTCACATACTGGTGTTATAGGTGGTGTATGCCGGTGTTATAGGTGGTGTATACTGGTGTTATAGGTGGTGTATACCGGTGTTATAGGTGGTGTATACCGGTGTTATAGGTGGTTTATACCGGTGTTATAGGTGGTGTATGCCGGTGTTATAGGTGGTGTATACTGGTGTTATAGGTGGTGTATACCGGTGTTATAGGTGGTGTATACTGGTGTTATAGGTGGTGTATACCGGTGTTATAGGTGGTGTATACCGGTGTTACAGGTGGTGTATACCGGTGTTACAGGTGGTGTATACCGGTGTTATAGGTGGTTGATACCGGTGTTATAGGTGGTTGATACCGGTGTTATAGGTGGTTGATACCGGTGTTATAGGTGGTTGATACTGGTGTTATAGGTGGTTGATACTGGTGTTACAGGTGGTGTATACCGGTGTTACAGGTGGTGTATACTGGTGTTATAGGTGGTGTATACCGGTGTTACAGGTGGTTGATACTGGTGTTACAGGTGGTGTATACTGGTGTTATAGGTGGTTGATACTGGTGTTATAGGTGGTTGATACTGGTGTTATAGGTGGTTGATACTGGTGTTACAGGTGGTTGATACCGGTGTTACAGGTGGTGTATACCGGTTTTACAGGTGGTGTATACCGGTGTTACAGGTGGTGTATACTGGTGTTATAGGTGGTTGATACTGGTGTTATAGGTGGTGTATACCGGTGTTACAGGTGGTGTATACCGGTGTTACAGGTGGTGTATACTGGTGTTATAGGTGGTTGATACTGGTGTTATAGGTGGTTGATACTGGTGTTATAGGTGGTTGATACTGGTGTTATAGATGGTTGATACTGGTGTTATAGATGGTTGATACTGGTGTTATAGGTGGTGTATACTGGTGTTATAGGTGGTTGATACTGGTGTTATAGATGGTTGATACTGGTGTTATAGGTGGTGTATACTGGTGTTATAGGTGGTGTATACAATCTGTTCGCTGACATTTCTTCATGTTCTTTTATTTTAAATATTCAAAATAAAGCATAAATGTGACATTTTTAGCTCGTTTCCCATCTATGAGTCTTTTAAAAGCTAAACAACATTTGTAAAAAAGAAAAAGAACAGCACTCTTTAAGGCGCCGTTCCAAGGTTCAGATTTGTAGTTAAAGTTCTAATGAAATGATGGCTGTACTCTGAACTGATCACCCAGAGACTTTTGAAACAAAAGAGCAAAGTTTTTCCTGAGTTACTTTTTATTATTGATGGTCTTAACATCCAAATAGGAGCTGAAACTTCTGCAAAGACCTGCAGGTCTATTTGGATAATAAGATTTTTAAAGGAAAGGCAGCTTTCTGTATGGAGCACATTTCATACACAGAGGCAAGTCCATGTGCTTTTAGCAAGAACATTAAAATCAACGTGACAGAAAATATTATTTAATAACTAAAAAGAAATTAAAGTTAAAGGCTGAGCTAATACAGTGCAGACGGTGCAGCATAAGAACATTTATTCAAAGGCTGATGAGAACATGAAGGTTTTCAATTTTGATTTAAAAGTTTCTAGAGTTGAGGCACATCTGAGGTCACGAAGAAGCTGATTCCATCTGTGTGCAGCATAGTAGCTAAAATCAGCTTCACCCTGTGTGGTTCTGACCCGGTTCTACCAGCTGACTGTTTCCTAAGGATCTCAGAGCCCTGCTGGGCGTGGATACCTGAAGGAGATCTGACATGTATTCTGGCCCCATGCCATTTATAAACTAGTAGAAGTACTTCAAAACTGATTCGGTAGTTTACTGGAAACCAGTGTAGAGAGTTAAGAACAGGAGTGATGTGCTCGGTTCTCTTGGTGCTTGTTAAGACTCCAGCAGCAGCGTTCTGAATAAGCTGCAGTTGCTTCACTGCTTTTTTGGAAAGACCGGTCTGAAGACCATTGCAGTAGTCCAGCCTGCTGTAGATGAACGCATGAATGAGTTTCTCATTGCAGTAGTCCAGCCTGCTGGAGATGAACGCATGAATGAGTTTCTCATTGCAGTCCAGCCTGCTGTAGATGAACGCATGAATGAGTTTCTCATTGCAATAGTCCAGCCTGCTGTAGATGAACGCATAAATGAGTTTCTCATTGCAATAGTCCAGCCTGCTGTAGATGAACGCATGAATGAGTTTCTCATTGCGGTAGTCCAGCCTGCTGTAGATGAACGCATGAATGAGTTTCTCATTGCAGTAGCCCAGCCTGCTGGAGATGAACGCATGAATGAGTTTCTCATTGCAGTAGTCCAGCCTGCTGGAGATGAACGCATGAATGAGTTTCTCATTGCAGTAGTCCAGCCTGCTGGAGATGAACGCATGAATGGGTTTCTCATTGCAGTAGTCCAGCCTGCTGGAGATGAACGCATGAATGGGTTTCTCATTGCAGTAGTCCAGCCTGCTGGAGATGAACGCATGAATGGGTTTCTCATTGCAGTAGTCCAGCCTGCTGGAGATGAACGCATGAATGGGTTTCTCATTGCAGTAGTCCAGCCTGCTGGAGATGAATGCATGAATGAGTTTCTCATTGCAATAGTGCAGCCTGCTGGAGATGAACGCATGAATGGGTTTCTCATTGCAGTAGTCCAGCCTGCTGGAGATGAACGCATGAATGAGTTTCTCATTGCAGTACTCCAGCCTGCTGGAGATGAACGCATGAATGGGTTTCTCATTGCAGTAGTCCAGCCTGCTGGAGATGAACGCATGAATGGGTTTCTCATTGCAGTAGTCCAGCCTGCTGGAGATGAACGCATGAATGGGTTTCTCATTGCAGTAGTCCAGCCTGCTGGAGATGAATGCATGAATGAGTTTCTCATTGCAATAGTGCAGCCTGCTGGAGATGAACGCATGAATGGGTTTCTCATTGCAGTAGTCCAGCCTGCTGGAGATGAACGCATGAATGAGTTTCTCATTGCAGTAGTCCAGCCTGCTGGAGATGAATGCATGAATGGGTTTCTCATTGCAGTAGTCCAGCCTGCTGGAGATGAACGTATGAATGGGTTTCTCATTGCAGTAGTCCAGCCTGCTGGAGATGAACGCATGAATGGGTTTCTCATTGCAGTAGTCCAGCCTGCTGGAGATGAATGCATGAATGGGTTTCTCATTGCAGTAGTCCAGCCTGCTGGAGATGAACGCATGAATGAGTTTCTCATTGTAGTAGTCCAGCCTGCTGGAGATGAACGCATGAATGGGTTTCTCATTGCAGTAGTCCAGCCTGCTGGAGATGAACGCATGAATGGGTTTCTCATTGCAGTAGTCCAGCCTGCTGGAGATGAATGCATGAATGAGTTTCTCATTGCAATAGTCCAGCCTGCTGGAGATGAACGCATGAATGGGTTTCTCATTGCAGTAGTCCAGCCTGCTGGAGATGAACGCATGAATGGGTTTCTCATTGCAGTAGTCCAGCCTGCTGGAGATGAATGCATGAATGGGTTTCTCATTGCAGTAGTCCAGCCTGCTGGAGATGAACGCATGAATGAGTTTCTCATTGCAGTAGTCCAGCCTGCTGGAGATGAACGCATGAATGGGTTTCTCATTGCAGTAGTCCAGCCTGCTGGAGATGAACGCATGAATGGGTTTCTCATTGCAGTAGTCCAGCCTGCTGGAGATGAACGCATGAATGAGTTTCTCATTGCAGTAGTCCAGCCTGCTGGAGATGAACGCATGAATGAGTTTCTCATTGCAGTAGCCCAGCCTGCTGGAGATGAACACATGAATGAGTTTCTCTAGGTCCTGCGTGGACATGAGACCTGTGAGTCGTGCTGTTTGATGCAGATGATGGAGCGCTGATCCGGTTCTAGCCTTAATGTGAGCGGTGGAGCTCAGGTCTGAATCATTTATGACTCCAAGATTTCTAACCTGGTCTTTGTCTTCATTCCTCTGGAGCCGAGCCGAGCAGCAGCCTCCATCCTGTCCTCCTGACCTCCTAAGACAAGAACTTCCCTCTTGTCTTTTTAACTGGAGGAAGTTTGATTGCTCTAACACTGATGGAGTGATTTTTCAATGTGAGCGAGTTGATGCTGCTGATGGTGGGTCTGAGTGGTGCTCCTTCCTTGTGAATCTTCAGAAGACCATATATGCATGGGGTGGCTTCTCCTGGATAGAGTCTGCAGTAAAATGTGCGGCTGATGACTTTGTCCTGTAGCAGTTTCTGTAAATGGTTTGTGATTGGTCCGGCGTTAGAGTCCACACGTCACGTCTGGTTTGGCAGAAAAAACATTTTCCTCACGAGAACGACTCCCAACACCTAAATAATTTACGTGTACATTTTTATTTAGAACAAGTTCCTGTTATGTTTTTTTTCTACATATTTGTTCAAACGAGGCTCTAACCTGCAATTTGCTCTGTAACCGGTTTCATCCGGTTTCTAGCCTCAGGCAGCATTATCGTGTCATTTGGGTAAACTGGCCAATCAGCATATTGGATCATTTAATATTCATGTTCTGCCCAATGGATGAGGGCAGGGCTTTATTCTAGGGTTGTTTTTGGTCATTTATCAGAGCTCCTGGGCCACTGTGAGCCCCAAAAAGTCCCATGTGCTGTACAGAGGGTCAGTGATCAGTTTCACGCGTAAAAAAGCTGTTCTAGATTCCCTTTAGCATGGAAGAGAACGCTGCACCAAAACTATTCATGTGAATTTACCTTTTTTAAAACTAACACATATTTTCACACTTCTTTTTTACCATAAGCAAAGCTAATAGAGGAATACGGGCAGAGGAAACCCACCGAAGCCATTATCCCCGATGAGAAGCAGGAAAAGCACAAACCGGTGGTGCCTAAGTTGTACCCAGATTCCTACCTGTTTACCAACTGGGGAGACGGTCTGCCAGAGCAGGAGCAGAAAGAAGCCGAGGCTCTTTTTCAGATTTATGGCTACAACGCCTTCCTGAGTAATCAGATTCCACTGGATCGGAAACTTCCAGAAACAAGGCATCCCAGGTGTGTTGTGTTGAAAATAACGCACAAGAAAAGTTTTCATTTCTGACACGAAACACATCATCTCACCCCATCTAGTTGTCTCAAGAAGAAATACCCCAAAGACTTACCTACCATCAGCGTAGTGCTGATCTACATCAACGAGGCTCTTTCCGTCATTAAGAGGGCGGTAAGAAGCATCATCACCAACACTCCCAAGCACCTGCTGAAGGAGATCGTTCTGGTGGATGACTACAGCACTTACAGTAAACCCGACAGTCTTTGCTAGAGTGTTTTTGTTGTTGTGATCCGTGCTTGTTTACTAACTGAACAACACATTTCAGATGATCTTGGTAAACAGCTGCAGGAATACATCGATCACATTCACGAAGAAAGACCTGGACTCATAAAGAAAGTCTGGCACTCACAACAAATGGGTCTGTCCCAATCCCGGATCACGGGCTGGGAGCACGCCACAGCTGATGTGGTGGCCATCTTGGATGCTCACATCGAAGCTTCACAGGGATGGTACTCACAGAACTCCCATCCGTTATATTGAAGTCACATTCGTGTTATTTACACCATTTCACCAATGTCTTCTGCAGGGCAGAGCCGCTGCTGGCCAGGATTAAAGCTGACAGGACTGTGGTGGTGTCTCCTGTGTTTGATAAGGTCCATTATGATGATCTACACCTGGAACCATACATCTCATTCTCCCATGGCTTTGACTGGGAGTTGTGGTGCATGTATGAGTCCTTCAGTCCCGACTGGATAAAGACCGGGGATGAATCTCAGCCTGGGAAGTATGTGCAGATGTTAAAAAGTATACATACAAGTAGATCACAATGATGAGAGCTTCACAAGAGTGCAGTGGTACATATCTGCATTTTAAGAGTCCCCTGATTGTAAAAGGTCAATCTCACAAATGATCTCATTGATGCGTGTTTCACACAGGAGTCCCTCTGTGATGGGAATCTTCGCCGCAGACAGGGCTTTTCTTGGGGAAATCGGTGGACTCGATGGAGGAATGTCAGTTTACGGAGGGGAAAACGTTGAACTAGGGATTCGCGTGAGTGGCAATAAAAAGAAAAAGTTGCAGGTATGTTTACTAATGACCTGTGATCCGTTTCCTGACTGCTCAGGTGTGGCTGTGTGGAGGAAGCGTGGAGGTCGTGCCTTGCTCCCGCATTGCTCACATCGAGAGGGCTCACAAACCGTATGCGCCTGATCTCAACCTTTCCATGAGGCGAAATGCCCTGAGAGTAGCAGATATCTGGTTGGACGAATACAAGAAGAATGTGCTTATCGCCTGGAACCTTCCTCTTCAGGTTATTTTCAACGGTTCATATTTTCATTTCAGTAAATGTGAAACTTTGAGAGGTCATTACCACCTCTCAGTAGATCAGGAATGAATCAGTTACCACACCAAGGTCTGAATAATGCCAGAACTAAGAAAATGCTTTAATAAAATCTGCCTGACAACAGTAGTTGTGCTTAATGACCTCAGAAAGCAACACATTGTGCCCATTTCAGTAGCCTGGCTAGCCACTGTATAAATGTTGATGACTTAAGTACCTCCATCTGCTCATGTCTCAAAGAAAAGTCCAAGTCTCAATTGACCAAAGTTGATACCAAAGCTATTTCTAACGAATTGCCACCATCTATGTAGTTTTTGCTCAGACACAGCACTGGTGTTAAGCCCGCCCAATAGGGAGCCTAAGCCTCTTCCCTGTCCGGTCGGCTCATGGGTCCCCTAAGAACAACCAATGAATGCAAGTCAACGGGGCTAAAAGAGCTATGTTCTAATCCGCTTGGCTGTTGGGCCTGGATCGCACAAACGTTGCATTCATGTTTAAATGAAAACTAACGATGGTTTTTTCGACCATGCTTGGCACATATGTTGAGATTTATCAGCTTGTAAACGTTCCCTGTTAGTTTGTTAGACTACAAACCCGACATCCGCATATCGCATATATGACATCACCACAAAATCTCCCCTCTCCTAGCGGAGCTGCTACTCACCACATGGCCAGATTTAAGGTGGGTTTTTCCTCCCGAAGGAAGGATTTGAAGTTCTCTGAACTTACAGCCGTTTTCCTCCGTTTTTATCAGCGTCCGGTTCGATGACGCAACTTTCGTGAAGCACATTTGCAGTCCTGGACTTATTTACACATAAAGCCTAGAATAACGCTCCCCTGTTCGAAAATAAGCGCATTCTTGGTGTCAAAACGCGTCTTTAAAATTGATGGACCTCATATGTGAAACCCATGGAACACAACAAGCTGAATTGGAAAACAGCGTTTTTAGCCCCATTGGCTTGCATTCATTTTTTGGTTCTCCGGGGACCCGTGGTCCGGAAGTAGATGGGCGTGATTTAGGCTCCCTATGTCTCTCTACAAACAAAGTGCTGTGATTGGCTGGACCTAAAATTGTTCGGGCCAATGGTAGACGTGCTGGGGCTATAATGGAGCGTGATAGAATGGCCTGTAGAGCAAACCTGTAGCCATTCCAGTGGTTTGTTGAGATTTCTAGGCTATCATTTCAGACTAATCCAAGAACAAAAGAACCCAGAAGGTGTGAAGAGCTGCAGGCATCACCTGGTTGATGCCAGGCGCACGGTTAGGGCTGCTGTGATTAATGAGCCCCTCTTTATTCTGCATTAGCTAATGCCGGTCTACTGAGACGCATCGAAGATTGTTGGATTTAAGAGTGAAAGTGACAGAGACATCATAATAAATAACAAATGGTAATGGTTCTGCCAGACTCATCCTTATTTAGCATGGCTTTATTGCTTCTTGATGCCAGACAACCTGTGATTTTCATAACAAGGACAATTTTAAAACGATTGTTCCACACGATGTTGTTTGTGTCTTTGCAGAAAACGCATCGATTTATTTTATAATATATGTGTTCCTGTATAAGTACCACGTCCTGTAATTAAACCTCCAGATTTATAAATAAATATTCTGTTTTTACACCGTCTAAAATAAATGTGCCACAGGGCCACGGCATCGATACTGGCGATGTATCCGAGAGAAGAAAACTCAGAGAAAAGCTCAAATGTAAGCCTTTCAGCTGGTACATCAACAACGTTTATCCGAGTCTGGAGAGGTTGGATAATATCCTGGGGTACGGCGTGGTAAGGGAGCTTTTCATCATTCCATTAGCCAGGTCCGAGCTATTTCACACACATTGATGTCAGAATATTTAAATAAACTGCAATGAGAAACATGACTTTTTCACTTAAGCTGCAGAACACGCTTTTTAAGAAGTACTGTGCAGATCAGGGAGTCGTTCCTGGAAGCATTCCCGTGCTGTACGAGTGCCACTTCCAACAACCGCAGGTAACATTTACAAATGTGTGGATGCAGAAGTGATCATGGACATCTAATTAAACCACATCTTTCTGTGATCTTCAGCTCTGTTATTACACTACAGACAGTGAAATCATCATAGGAGGCATTAAATCTCACAACTATAACAATAACCGCTGCTTGGTGGATCCCGGTTCTGGAAGCGTTCCCAATCTGCAGGACTGTAAGATGGCTCAGCTAAACCACTTACACATGCACTGGGACTTCCGACAAGTAAGACCCAACAGTCTCAGCAGCAACAGTGTGAGAATGTCTGGAATAGTCAGAAAAATGGTCGTAACAGGATTCTACCATCTACATAGACATGCCAACCACACACCACATCATATCAGCCTGCAGTCTTCTGCTGTGACTTCCAGCTGTTCTAGTCATCCGACCCAGTAGACACCTGCAGAGTTTTGGTCAAACCTGAGGAAATATTGTTCCATTTAAAGACTTTGCTGTAAAACCATCTTTCATAGTTGGATAAACTGAACTTTGTGAATCTAAACTGACGTTTTACTGTTTCACTTTTGCAATTTTTGGGTTCAATTCAATTCAAGTTTATTTATATAGCGCCAAATCACGACACGGGTTAGAGTTGTTCAGTTTAATTCAATCAAGAGTCGTCTCCAAGCACTCAACATTCCAGCTGAACCTGCATTTTAGTTCAGTACATCAATTCGTTCACCCTCCCACTGTCTTCATGGGGACCCCGCCAGGAAAGGTGGCCACTGAGCAGGACTGATGGTCCACGGGCAGCGGTGAGGCGGTGCTAGTTTTTGATGCAGGCTGAACATGAAAACACCACGTTAGATCCCGCCCCCAATTCTTCTTCTACAGTTTATGTACCGTAAAAGAGATCTTTTAGATGTTGATGTTAGAATGTGCATTAGCTGCATTTGCAACCCTAACCCTACATGTCCTTAGAGTATTTTGTTTTCTCTATAAACTAATAATCCTCCTGTCTGCACAGGGCCAAGCAATCAGAAACAAAGCTACAAACAGATGTCTGGAGATCGCCCAGGGGGAAACCGCCGACTACCAGCTCATCATTCAGCAGTGCAGCGGGCAGAGCTGGACCATTCAACATCTCGTCAAAAACTTCTAGTTCAGTTGAAACTGTCCGTGTCGTGTCTTTATGAAAAACAATCATAAATCTGATCTTTGGGTCGTTGAATTGGGTTTATATTTATTGTCTGCATCTCCCGAGGAAGTTCTGATTTCTACACGTCTAACTGGATCTGTGCCTTTTTCATGTGTGATACAAGCAACCACACCTTTCAATCAGATTTTCTCTTTTCCAAACAGAAAAGCAGTTTTACCTGAAAAATGTGAATCTGGTCATAAAGCATCCTAACAAAAAGTTAAGTATCAGATCAGGTTTGAACATCAACTTTATTCAGTCTTAAAATGCAGATCCATCAGAACGTCACTGATGCACCAGAGCAGCCCCGTGGGTCTGAGAGTTCAGCTCTGTTTGTTTTGTAAGAAAATGTCTGCTCTGCACACAAGAGAAGAATGAAGCACACCTTGCCCAGGTGATGTCACGTCAACCTGATTTTCAAGACACCCCCCCCCCCCCCCCCCCCCCCCCCCCCCCCCATGGGATCCAGCTTTCTCACATGAGACTTTCAGCTCTAAATTCCCTTTAGGAGGATTCAGAACTGATATAAGATGTTTTATAAATATTTCATTAAATGTGGATAAGCTGATAAGAATTGTTTGGAGGAAAGCAAGTTAAATGAATGCTAAAGCGTTTTTAAAGAGGAGTTTATGCAGGTTCAATATCAGAGACTGGGCCAGCAGCAGCTCTTTACTTTGGATCTGTGGCACCATACGGGTCATTTAAGGTGAACCAAGTCCATCAGCAGAAGTTAAACCATAAACCATAATCCCAGCATGACTCATGATGAGCAGAACGTGTGAACACTCTTTATTATGAAATGAATTTTAAAAATGAGCCGAACATCTCAAATGATGGATAGACCTCCACCAACCTCCACCTCATGTAAGCACGTACACAGGAAGCGTGGCCACTATGGTCAGCAGAAATAAAGTTCTGTTTCCTGTTCTGCAAGGTCTGAATGTGAGATCACGCCCATTTAGGCAGTACAGATGATGTCATATAGCTGCAAAAAGACGTAATGAATCTCTTAAGTACATGAACTAACACGTCATGTAACAGGTAAGCTGGCAAAAAGAACAAACAAGCTCTTCCTTCTCATGAATCAGATTAGGGCTGCAACAAATGATTATTTGGATAATCGATTAATCGGATGGGGTCTCGACACGATTAATCGGATTACATGGGGAAATGTTTAAAAACTGCTAGGGAAACGTTATTTCTCTCCTTCCTTCACTTTATTTAACACAACATTATTAGAAAACAGTTCAATAGCAGAAAAACAACATGCCATCACCTAAATTGTCTTATAAGGTGTATAGACAGAGACCCTAAGCTACATCTATCTGTGACCTAAAATGCTTGGTCCAAGTTAAACAGCTTAAGGGCAATTCTCATCTGTTTTGTTTGATCTCATCTGTTGACATTTATTTTAAATGTAATTAAACATAGGCTGTGAATTAATCAAAATTAATCACTATTTCCAAAAATGACTGAAAAAATACCAAATAAAACAAAAGTAAATGAATGCCATCCTCCTTGCGATGATGCCCTGGGCAACTGCCATAAAGTCACATCAAGAAATGCTGCTGATCATTCCAATGATCCCAAATAGACTCACATTAGGCCACATGAAAGCAACTGAACCCAAAAATATATTAACCAGTATATAACTGCACTCTCACACAACACGCCTGCAGCAACAGTTAGGACTCCTCCCTCCCTTTTAAAAGCATTTTTGCTTCTGAGGACATTGTGGTTGTAAAACCACATGCTAGTAGTCTGGCCCCGGTGTGATCAACCAGTTTCTGCGGGAATGTGACGGCGGAACCAGGGCCAGATTAACACTTTGATGTACCCTGGGCAACAATATTCAAGGGCTCCATCATCACGACCCAAGGATCACCATAATGTGGTCACATACAGAATATTTTACTGTAATATGCAGTAAATATACTCAATACTTGAATGCCTGACAACACGTAACCCGCCCAGAGTAACCTTTGACCCACCTCGTGTGGACTGACCAATGAGGAGAGGGTCTTAACTTGAGGCCCTCTCTTCATTGGTCAGTCTGCATGAGACTGACTCTCAACTGACGTTCAGTCATAGGCAGCGAAGCGTCTCTGTGCAGCGCAAAAGCCCGGGTGGACAGTTTGTTTAATGTAGGGTGACCATATTTCCATTTCCAAACAAGAGGACAGGGGATCTGTGCCTATGACGTCACACTATGGCAACGCCACACAAACCATGTTGGGACCCATTTTTTGTAAGAACTAAATTAATATCAGATTCTGCCAATTAAAGGGCTCTAAAACTATTCATATGTAAATATTTTGCATATTTAATGCAAAATCTAATTTTTATGCTTTAGTGCTGCAACAAGGTTTTATTAATAATAAATTATTATACCTTTTGTTTTACTACAGCATCGGTAAGCTTCCTGTGCACAGATTATTAAGGATGCTTGTTTCAGCTGTGAGATTAGACGATAGGATCAATGAAAAAATAAGTTGTCACACACTCCATGGAAACTTTCAGAGAATCCACAAATAGTGGCTTTCAAATGGTTTTGTTACTTTTTACAAGTTTATAAAAGAAGCAGATGAGACAGCATGTCTGATAATTTAGTTTTTCATCTGATAATATTAGAACATGTCAGTAATGTCTGAGGGGCTTTTATAAACACTGTATAACTAACACTACTGGAGAGGGTATGGATTACACAGAGGCTTCTGGGGAGCCCAGTTATGGGGGGGGGGGGGGGGGGGGGGCATTTTGCCTTGGCCCCCAAAATGTCTTGAAACGGCCCTGGGTGTGTGACTGAGTTTTGAAGGTGATCTGAACTGTATCAGATGTATAAATATGACATGTGTATAACTTATTGTTTTTTACTGGTAAAAACGTGTAGTGGAGATAAATCTACCTACATTTGACTTTTCAACACTTTGTTTTGTTTTCTTGTTTTTATTGAACTATTTTCCTGTCCTGTCTGTCTCTCATCTTCCTGCATCTCCTCATAATTCTCCAGAAAATCTGCTGCCTGGATTCTTACCTTTTCACCTCATCAGTTACTTTTGAGCAGATCAAAGAGATCTCCTGACCGAAAAGCGCAGAGCGCGTTTTCAATGCTGCGTGAGGTGACATCACCACAGCACAGGTGATGAGCTCCGCAGTAGCGAGCTTCAGGCACAAATAAGACAGGAAATAGAGAACATGTGCGGACATGAACGATCGTGTGCTAATTATAGTTTTTTGGTTGCGCCACTTTGAGAATGGACCGTGCGCTGGAAGCAGCTGCCTGGATCGCTGCGCGACAATGCGGAACCGGTTCGCAGCAGCGCAAGTCTGCCGGCTCTCCCTCACGCTGATCTGACTTGCTCTGGTCTGCGCGCAACGGCGGGCAGGAAGGGGGGGGGGCGCTTTTGGAAGAGTTGTGCGACACAACGAATCGATGACGCAATTCGTTGCCAACGCTTTTAGTAATCGATTTTCATCGAATTTATCGATTCGTTGTTGCAGCCCTAAATCAGATACAACAGCTTCATTTCCTTCCAGAGTCGGGCCTGTTCTGACCTCGCCTGCATGCTGATACAGAACTGATGTTACTGTGTTGGAAGTACAGAGAAGTGAAAATCAGACTTTACGTTTTAATCACTAGTCCTGTCTGGATTTGACTGAAACAATGAGAGAAATGTCACCTGAACACAGTCCATTTAATGTCTACCATGTAAAGTTCTCATCGCTTCTAACCCACCTGACTCTGCAGGGTGAAAGGGAGCTGCGGCTCAGAGGCAGGGCTACACCTGGTCAGGTCACAGAGCCACAAATACCACACACACAGCCATCCATGCGCTCACCTTGATCATAATTATATCCAATTAACCCAAAAAGCATCTTTTTGGTCTGTGCAGAATCCAAAGTGTTGATGACCACACAGGAGGACCCCAGCAGGGCACAGTGAGGAGACGGGGCCCCCAGCAGGGCACAGTGAGGAGACGGGGCCCCCAGCAGGGCACAGTGAGGAGACGGGGCCCCCAGCAGGGCACAGTGAAGAGACGGGGCCCCCAGCAGGGCACAGTGAGGAGACGGGGCCCCCAGCAGGGCACAGTGAGGAGACGGGGCCCCCAGCAGGGCACAGTGAAGAGACGGGGCCCCCAGCAGGGCACAGTGAAGAGACGGGGCCACCATCCACTCTAAACTTTCTGCTGAGCTGTGGTGGCCTCATGGAGGGGGCCATCGTCTAGCACACTGCTGCTAACCACTTAAACATTCTCCCTCTCCTGATAATAACATTTTGTTTTCCTTGACGTTGGATGTGCTAATACTAGTTTATCCGTTTAACTATAGATTCACTAGGATAAATACAATAAAGTTTATCTCTCGCCAAATAGAATATTTACTAAGAAATCACAATATAACTATAGACACATTACTTGGTGTGTGTGTGTGTGTGTGTGCGTGTGTGCATGTGTGTGTGCGTGTGTGTGTGTGTGTGTGTGTGTGTGTGTGTGTGTGTGTGTGTGTGTGTGTGTGTGTGTGTGTGTGTGTGTGTGTGTGTGTGTGTGTGTGTCTGCTCTGTCTTCTCCATCCCCAGTGAGTCGTGGAGGATGGCTGCTTATACTGAGCCGGGATTCTCTGGAGGTTTCTTCCCATTAAAAGGGAGTTTTCCTCTCCACTGTCGCTGCATGCTTGCTTAGTATGAGGATTGCTGTATAGTCACTGACACTAGTCAGTGACTTGATGCAATTTGCTGGGTTCCTTATATAGGAAACATTATTTCTGATTGGCTTAATGAACTGACCTGAATTGGAATGTTTATTATGTGAAGTGCCTTGAGACGACTCTTGTCGTGATTTGGCGCTTTATAAATAAACTTGAATTGAATTGAAATTGAATTAAACTACTATAACAAACATTACAAGTTAATAGAAATATAAAAAATGATCGTGCACTTCAGCCATCACTTTTAAAATTAAATATGTTATAAAGAGCAGAATAAAAATCTTCTGCAGGGGTTGAAAGACTCTTAAAGTTACAGTAAAACGTGACTAATCAGGCTTTCCAGTTACATTTCTTTGCAAGCTCTTACCTTTGTGCCAAGTTGAAGATGGAGTGAAATGAAAAGGTAAATTACTGGTTGAATTACCTGCTCATCGTTTCATCAGCCCCAGTCAGGTGTGGCCGGATGGGTCACGGCTCCTTCTGGCCACCTTTGCCTCACCGGACCACAGATCTGCCATCGACTGATCCCAACCAGACATCAGCATTTACCTTTGCTGTGCGGCTGATGTTCAGCAGAAGAGCCACGCGCGCAGTGACGTCACCACGCCCCCTTCTAATCAGGCTCACCTGCTGAGACGTAAAAAAAACTCGCAACAGGAAGAATACCTGTCAGATCCATCTGAACCCGTCAGTCCCGCTTGTCTGATCGAACCGAGGCCGGTACACGTCTTCTTCTTTGTTTGGACCTCATCTCCTCTTCCATCATGAGAGCGGTGTCGCTCAGGCGCCCGCTCGTCGCCGCGGGCTGTGTGGGACTCTGCTTCTACGTGGGAATGTTTCTGAGGAACGGCCATGTCCACAGAGACCGGGACCGGGACCGGGAGCTGGACTCACACCGGTCCATCAGGAGCTTCTCGGATCTGGAGGCCAGCCTGAGCAATCTCAGTGAGTTCTGCGTTTGTGTCTTCATGTTTTAAGTCCGGAAGATCAGAGATCAGGTGAAGATTCAAATGTCAGTAATCCCGATGAGACCAGCTCAAGAGGAAAAGACTGGAAGGGTTTTTATGAGGAATGTGTCATCTTTAGTTTGATTAAGTACCAAATCGTGTTAATATCTGAACATTTTAATTCATTTTCTTGTTTGTGTCCCAAAGAAACAAGAATAATTTCAGTTATTAATAGGGTTGTTTCATAACTTCTGACTCTTCCTGTCACGCTGGGGCTCTGATGTCTATCTTTCTTTTTACTTTAAAGCCAAGGCCCTCCTATCTTTTGAGCAAAAACAGGATGTTATGCAGAGAATCCTGGAGGAGGAGAGAAACACTCAGAGAAAAGTGGCAGAGGTGCTGCAGCAGGCGCTTCAAGTAGGGGTCGGGCTGGAAAAGCAACACGAGGAAAAGGTCCAGGCTAGAAGGGAAGATGTCGGCAAAGTGTTCCCTGATTCTCCACTGTTCAAGGAATGGGGAGGGAGTCTGTCTGAGGATGAGCAAAGGGAGGCTCAAGCTCTGTTTGACAAGTATGGGTACAATGTTTTCCTCAGCGACCGCCTTCCTCTGAACAGACCTCTTCCAGAAACAAGAGACCCCAGGTAGAAGACCTGATAAAGTCTTACTTAAACGTCTTTACTCATGTTTGTGTAAGACCTCATTAATGTCTTTATGATTAGGTGTTTAAAGAGGACTTATCCAAAGGACCTCCCAACCGTGGGAGTGGTGCTGATCTACCTGAATGAAGCTCTATCCATCATCAAACGAGCCATGCGAAGCATCATTGACCGCACGCCTAAGAACCTGCTGAAGGAGATAATAATGGTGGATGACAACAGCTCTAATGGTAGGCTGCAGCATAGTTGGGTAACACGTGGACCAACGAGTTCATCGTCTATAATCACAGGAGGATTACTGAGAGGCAGGCCAGATTATTTAAACATGTTTTTTATATTAATGACTGACACTCAGGCGAATAGGTTTTTTTATATTAATAATAGAAACCGCTGTTTTGGCCGAATTAATTCCCTCAATAAAGTTAATAATTTCAAAATGGTGTAACTTGTTCTGACAAGTTTGCAAACTCGAGTCGTCTTTAGGCTTTTAGAGTAAAACCAACAGTTGAGCCGTTGTTTCAGCAGCATGTCCCGTTTCCCACTAGCCTCACACAACCTCCTCTGATCACGATGTTTTCATTTCAGAAAATCTGAAGGGTGACCTGGACATGTATGTGAAGTCACTACAGGAGGAGAACCCAGGTCTCCGCATTGCAAGAGTGAGGCACACTGAGCAGAGAGGTCTCGCGTACGCCAGAGCTTCTGGGTGGCGGGCTGCGACCGCTGATGTGGTGGCCATCTTGGATGCACACATTGAAGTCCACGAAATGTGGTAAGAAAATGAGAGGTTACTTGTACACTTGTTCACCAATCTGTGCAAATCTGGCTTGTCGAGACGTTCCATCCGTCTCAGTTCAATTCAAGTTTATTTATAAAGCGCCAAATCACAACAAGAGTCGTCTCCAGGACCTTCACATAATAAACATTCCAGTACAGGTCAGGTCATTCAGCCAATCAGAAAAAAGTTTCCTATATAAGGAACCCAGCAGGTCGCATCAAGTCACTGACTAGTGTCAGTCTTTACAGCAATCCTCATACTAAGCAAGCATGCAGCGACAGTGGAGAGGAAAACCCCCTTTTAACAGGAAGAAACCTCCAGAGAATCCTGGCTCAGTATAAGCAGCCATCCTCCACGACTCACTGGGGATGGAGAACACACACACACACACACACACACACACACACACACACACACACACACACACACACACACACACACACACACACACACGTATTTATCCTAGTGGATCTATTGTTAAACGGGTAAACTAGTAGTAGCACATCCAACGTCAAAGAGAGTAAAGTGTTATTATCAGGAGAGGGAGAATGTTTAAGTGGTTAGCAGCAGTGTGCTAGACGATGGCCCCCTCCATGAGGCCACCACAGCTCAGCAGAACATCGTTGTAGCTTCTTCTGGGGAGAAAAACACTTGGAGAGAAAATAAAGTTAACAGCTGAAATAGCAGGAAATAATACAGTTAAAGAGCAGATACTAGAACACATATGTCAGACTCAAGGCCCGCGGGCCAGATGTTTAGTCTCTTGGCTGCAGACGAAACGTAGCGGGAAAAACAGGCAACAAAACGATTTCTGTGTTTTAAAAAAAGAACGACAGCATGGAATTAGATTTTATCCAGCTTGTTGGTTCTCTGCTTAAAAAGGAAGTCCGGGTGGCCGGTCCGATTCCTCCCTTAGCATGCGGTGAACTGATCTAAGATGGCGTGGGACTGGTTTTATGAATCTGGATGTTTTGATTTACGGTCAAAGTTTGACAGATTTATAAACCCCACAGAGACTACGCCACGCTTCAGAAAGGAAGGTTCCGATTGGATGAGTAAAAGCAATGTGTCATGTGTTTACATTACGTGTCATCAGGATGTCTAGTGCAGCTAGACTAGTCATATTACTTATTAAAACTTACTAATCATAACATTGTCATTTCACAGATTGGTCAACATCTTATTATTGACTAACACTTTGTTCGATTAGCTTTATTAAAAAGAAAAAGTCCTTTGTCTTCATTCTTCTCTTGGGCTGGAAAGGCAGCAGTTTAGAAGCAAATGCATGAGACTTTGAACAATATCTCATGCAGATTAGTTCTAAAGCCTGGTTTATGCTTCTCCGTCAGCTCCGCAAGGGACAGACACGCACGGATTGACGGAAGCATTTTGCTCTCATACTTCTCCGTCTCCTGGAGAGTGTTGCAACGCAATTGCCCGGCAGGACCACAGAGGGCGTAGCGCTGTTCTGTGGTATCCTGTCATGTATCGGTCCAAGATGGTGTGTTTATATTGTGTTTTTTGTGTATATAAGAGACTTTAAACACGGACATATTTGTCTCTCATTCTCCCACCGCTTCATGCGCTCCCCACCTCTAAACCCACGTTTCCTGTCATTTCTGTCCACAAATAAAACGCTTGCTGCGCATCTTTTCACTCCTCCAGTCACGGGAGAATTAAACGTTCATATTTTTAGAGTTTTTTCACGAGGCATTCTTCAAGCTTCTCCGTGTCTGCCGCTAGTTAAACTCGGCTCTCTTTGCAATGGCGGCGCTGTAAACAACAGCGGCGTCCTGACCAATCACAAGCTTGCGTAATCCGTTTCGTTCGACGGATGTTTAAAAAAGTGGGCTCGACTCCGTACGTACTTGCGTGCCTGCTGGAGCCCTACGCAAGGACGGATAATGGGCTGCATGGTGGCACAGTGGTTAGCACTGTTGCCTCGCAGGACGAAGGTCGCAGGTTCAAAACTCACCTTTCTGCGTGGAGTTGCGTGTTCTCCCCATGCATGCATGGGTTTCCTCCGGGTACTCCGGTTTCCCCCACACATCACAGCATGCCCTACAGGTTAAAAAAAAAAAAAAAACTTGTACGTCGCTTTGGATAAAAGCGTCTGCGAAATGAATAAACATAAACATAATGGAGTTGCGTGTCTCCGCACTGACGCAGACGGAGAAGCATAAATCAGGCTTTAGGGGGAAATGACTTTAGGTGGAAAACAGTCATTTCATCCTGTTACATGACCATAGACCCTATCAAATAAAAATGTTTTAAGCCTATTCTTTAAAGTAGACAAAGCGTCTGCCTCACGGACTAAAGCTGGGAGCTGGTTCCACAGGAGAGGAGCCTGATAACTAAAAGATCTGCCTCCCATCCTGTTTTTAGATATCCTAGGAACCACCAGTAGACCTGCAGTCTGAGAGCGAAGTGCTCGGTTAGGAACATATGGAACAATCAGATCACTGATGAATGATGGAGCTTGATTATCAAGAGCTTTATATGTGAGAAGAAGGATCTTAAAATCTATTCTGAATTAATCAAAGATCAGGTTTAATCACACGTCAAGATGTAGATTAGATGGTATGATTGTTGCACAGGTGTTCCTCAGGCCGTCCACAAGAAATCCTACCAAATCATTTATTTATTTATTTAAAAGCTTTTGATAGAACATTTATGTAGTTCTATGGGGCGATGGTGGCACAGGAGTTAAGTGCTCGCCCCGTAATTGGAAGGTTGCAGGTTCGAGTCCCACTCACTCTGTCACTGTCATGTCCTTGGGCAAGACACCTAACCCCCTTTGCCTGCTGGTGGTGGTCGGAGGGACTGGTGGCGCCTGTGTCGGTGCGCCCCAGGGCAGCTGTGGCTACATCGGAGCTCATCCCCACCAGAGTGTGAATGGGTGAATGACTGATTGTGTTGTAAAGTGCCTTGGGGGGTTCTAGGACTCTAGAAGGTGCTGTATTAAACACAGGCCATTTACCATTTAGTTTGAACATTTGTTCCAAAGAATATCCAAATTCCTTCCTGTGAGGTCTTGATATTCTTGGGTTCCATCGTTTTTATACGATGTTTTTTGCTTAAATAATAAAAACATCCTTTTTTGGTTGCGCCGACAGTCCGTTTCCAGTAAACCACAGTCTGATCCAGTAAGAACCACAGTCTGATCCACTAATCTCCTTCACTGATGCAACTCTTGTAACAGACTAAAGTGGTGGAAGGTTAAAAGGTGCCTCTTTATTCTGACTTTAATAATAATAAACGGTTAAACAGTTGACGTGTTTGCATCTGTGTAGGAATAATGTCAACACTAAGGGATAAGATTTACTGTTGCTGATCTACTTCCGCCCTCAGGGCAGAACCGCTGCTGACGCAGATCAAAGGGGACCGGACCGTGGTGACTTCTCCCGTCTTCGACAGAGTCAACTTTGATGATCTGAAGGTTATCCCATACCTCTCAGCAGCACACGCCTTTGACTGGGCTCTGTGGTGCATGTACGAGGGCTTTTCTCCTGACTATTACAAGCTCAACGACAGCTCATTACCTGGAAAGTAAGTTCAAGTGCAATCATTTAGGTGCAGTTTGTTTTAATTCTTCCAGCCATGTTTAAGTGGAGTTGTGTAGGGAAGGTTTAACATATTAAGGAGTGCAATTATTCTTATTCCTGTTGCAAAACCTAAAAGGTTTTTGTTTTGTTTTTATCTGCAAAATCCTGCAGCTGTGAGGCTTTTGTACAAACTGGTTATGGTTAGATGTTTCCTAAGAGTCTGTATTGAACAAGAGGCTGGCTGCACCTCACTGGCATCAGCAATAACAGCTCTCTCCTTTCCATTCAGGAGTCCGTCTGTCATGGGAATCCTGGTGGCTGATAGGAAGTATCTTGGAGAGGTTGGACTCCTCGATGAAGGGATGAAAGTTTATGGTGGAGAAAATGTAGAACTTGGGATTCGTGTAAGTAAAAATAAAATAAGCCTAAATCTGCTCTTGCTATCAAAACGATTACCCAACCACTCTGTGAAAACAGAGCGGTTTATTCTGCACCAGTTTAGAATAAAAAAGTTGTTTAATTGTTTAATTTTATACTTTTAAGGATGATTGTTAACCAAGTGGTTGCAAACACAACAATGTAAATGTATACTTAGTTTACCATAAATGGTATTTTCATTATTAGTGCTTTAACATCCCGCAACCATTAAGTAACTCTAATGAAAATAAATGTGAGAAATAAATGTAAGTCTCAGGGACAAAAGTATACAAAAACATACATGAATGTATTAAAATTGTTGGTCACCATAAAGTCGATACAGCTGCAGTTTATCTTAGAGCTGTACTATCACACTCAGGGCACACCTGCAAAGGTAAATTCTGAAGGTTTGATCCACGTCTCAGGGCTCCGCCAGTTTTACATCACTGTTGGGCCAATTAGGCCTAATTTTAGAGACCTCGGTGTCAGACTGTGACAGGCAATCTGCAAAGCGAACCAAAA